TATATATATATTTAGTACTAATTTAGTTGAAATGTTTTTTTAAGAAACCTGATTTTTTTCTGAGCACATTATTCATAGAAGGATAATTAGGAGAAAAAACAAACAATACATTGCAGTAATAATGAACAGATATGTATTTTATAGATTTTTTTATCTTTAAACATTTAAGAAAAAACAATTTTAGTTTTTTTTTATTTATAAAAATCATGAAAATGTCACATCTGTCGTTTCTGAAATAACTGGTTCAATTATGAAGAACAACAGCTTTATCGAATCAGTGAAAGAGAAGCTGGAGTTGTTGTACATGGTAAAAATTCAAATAATAAATTAATTCATTTTTTATAAACACGGCATATTTAAATGAACAATTATTAAAGATTAAATCCATCCAATTGTTGGAGATAATATTTAATGAATTATTAATATAAATAATGGTTATAATAACCGCCATTGCATATTGTATAATGCAATTTTATAAAAAAATTATTTTAAAAAATTACGAAGAAGTTTCATCAATGTGATGGGAAAAACAAAATATGTGTAATATCTCAATTATAATGTAGTATATAGCACGGGCGGATCTACGGGGGGGGAGGGGGGTTTTCGGGCTGAAGCCCCCGCCAAAATGGTAAAATATAACCAAGTTTTATGAGAAAAAAACTTTTAAAAATACCTCTTAAAGTATTATTGTTCGTGTAATTACATTTAAAAGGACTTATGGAATCACTTAAACACCATTTCATATAGGTAGTTAGTTTCTTTCTGTTTTTCCAAAGTAATTATCGTTATTTTTATGAAAAAAAAAGCTTTCGGGCTGAAGCCCCCCTCCAAAATTAAATCCTGGATCCGCTAGTGGTATATAGTAAACTATAATTGTATAGTTATCTAGTATTATTCATTATGAAATGCAAACAATAATATATGAATGTAATAACATAATTAACTATAACAATAATTCATAAATGTAATAATTTATTGCAATGTGATTTTTTTAAGCAACTCATGACTATGAGAAATGAAATAAATTTGAATTCATGTAGCAATATTTTATTAATAATGAAAAAGGCAACCGTTTGATCAGATAGAAATGTCGTTCCGAAGAAAATAAAGTGTTAATTTATTGGAGTTTAATTTTAAAATATAGCGAAACATTATTAATGATTTTCATCGATGAACAAAAATTATATTTAAAAAAATTGAATATTATGTTCGATCCTCTAAGTAACAATTTTGGTCATTTTTTTATTTTTTTTGTTTGTTAGGCATGCTGCTATATTATGTTATAGGTCTCTGTGTTTGAAACATATTGATTTAATTTTTTTTTTTTTCCTTTTCGACACGATAAGGATACAGGAAGAGCGTTTCGCCTGCGTCAACATTAATACAGACGCATGGTGGGAGGGCAGATGTGGTGAGTTGGAAAGGGTTGGTCACCAGCTGAACCTGCCAACAGCTGCCCTTATCGCCGTAGGACATATATCACACGCACTTCTCTTATTAATTATTTATATTATACTGGTTTCATGCCGAACCTAGGATCGTTCTAAACCAGTCAGGAACTAAATCTGTAACCGCCAAAAAAAAAAAAAACTTGCCATTCTAAAATAAAATAACGTCGTAAACCAATGACTTTCTGTCTTTCAGTTTCCTTTAACAACACCTCACTTATTCCTTTTGAACAAATCCGTTACCTAGGACTCCATCTGGACAAACGTCTAACTAGGAATCCTCATACCAGACTGAAACGACAAGAAACAGCTCGACGTTTCCGACTACTTCAACACTTACTAGACAAACGCTCTAACCTTCAATCAATTATAAAAGACTCATTTACATGACTAAAATAAGGCCTATTTGGACTTACGGAGTTGAGCTATGGGGCTCCACCAAACCTTCAAATTCCTCTCGCATCCAATCCTTACAATCTAAAATCCTTCGTAAAATCCTCAATGCTCCTTACTTTGTTACAAATAAAATTATCCATAATGACCTTAATGTTCCTTATGTATGCAGATATCTGTCCCTCCATAATAAACTTCATAACCATCCCAACCCTCTTGTTTCTAACCTTGCTTCCTATTCAATTCCTGATAACCCTCTGAGGCGTCTGAAAAGAAGATGGCCACGTGATCTTCTAATATAGACATATTATTAGAGTGCTACCAATGGGTAGTTTCTCAACATGTGTTCCATGGCATTATATCCATGTGCGAATTTACCAGATGTATTTTTTGTATACAGTTGTAAATAAATAAATAAAATAAAAAAAGAAGTGATAATATAATTTTAAAAAATTCATAAATATAGCATGATCTGGAAATAAAAACTATTTTCAATTAATTTGTCAAAAACGAATCTCTTACCTTAATAATACATGGTATACAAATTTATATTATGTAAAAGCAGATTTTCGTTTGTTCTTAATATCAAATTTTGATATTTCTTTTAATATACATTATATATATATATATATATATATATATATATATATATATATACACACACACATGAAAGACCTTAGATATGTCATAGCGGGATACACAAGAAAATCTTCCTATATTTTTGTTGTGTAAAATATTATATTTAACTTCTTAAAAATAATATTAAAAAAAATTATAAAATTCAATGACGTCATTATGCATTTCTCGAAGCGAGAATCTATCTATTTAATTTTTTTTTACTCACATACACTTCATGTAAACATCAGGTGATTACCATAAAAATAGCGGTTAACATAGAGAAGGAAATCGACCGATCTAGTAGTCTCTGGGAATGTTACTACCGAAAACAGGATTCTCCAAGACTAAAATAGAGATGAGACTAGTGCTTTTTCATTGTGTTTACTTCAAACACGGAAATGTAGAGTTAAAACGATTTGTACTATTGTGAACCAATAATACCTACTGGATTCCATTCTATAATAAATAAAAACAGTGATTTGTACAGGTAATACCGAGAATAGTGATGTAGCCAAAAATATCAACTTTTTGTACTGTTTAATTTTTTAAACTAAACAATCGAATATTAAAGTGATAAAAAAAAATATAATTAAAGATAGAGATATATTATTGTTTTTTTAAAAAGTATATATATCACTTATATAAGCTTCTTACATCGTAATTGCTATGTGGTTTTATTACTTGAAATGTATATTTTTTGTACGTTAAACTAAATAAATAAATAAAAATCAATCTTAAAATAGAAAATCATTAATGGTGTAAGAGTATTGGCCCCTATATAATATTTTAAATTAATATTTTGCTTAAATAATTAACCATATCATTTTTAATTATAATTAATTAACCATCAACGGCAATAAAAATCAATCTTGAAATATATAAAGAGATAAATATTAATAGTGTAAGAGAATTGGCCCCTATACAATATTTGAAAGTGAATTTTGTTTGAATAATTAACTATCGCACTTTTTATGAAGATTTCTCTTAAAACTGATTTTTCCACATTATTTAATTTAACTCTTTTTGTTGTTGTTGTTGTTGTTGTTGAATATATGACATAATGAGCAACTTCCCATCGTTTATACCATGTAATTTCATTCTTATCTTTTAAATCATCTCCATTAAGGAATCAAAATTTTCCAGATGTTAAAGCCCCTAGGGCATAGATTAATACAACACATGTGTTCACTAAACAGCTGTTACATTCGATCACCAGAGCGTAACCTGTGCACACAACGTAACCCCTCCCCCCTCCCCCCCTCACCTCCCCCAATCCTCATTGTTACTCAATTATTAATCGAATTCCTCGTCAGTACAGGGAATAGTTATTAAAAATTATAAACTGATGATTAAACATTAAGAAAAAAATGTTAAAATATATATATATAAAATAGACTGAAAATGAATTTTTCAATATGATACAATTTATTTTAAAATGTTTTTTTATTATTTTTATTAAAGCCTTGACGTTAAAATTTTCAAATTGACAGTTATAACAATAAATGAAATAAATTCCCTCTTAAATTAGCTTGTATAAACAGTTATAAATGTCCAAAGTTATTTTAAAAAAATTGAAAAAAAAAAAACCTGACCTCATATTACACCATGTTATGCAATGAAAAAAGTTTATAACATTGATGTATCATCAACTTCCATCTGTATTACGGGGCCAGGTTTGTGAGTACACAAGTTGGTTTGGTTATCTTGGGGCAAAGGCTAATGGTTATAACCTAAGTTAGGTATTAGTTTTATTTTTTTTATCCAAACTAAGACTTTATTATTAAAAGTCACTTTTATTTTTATATTGATGGAAAATATACGTATTTGTAATGAAAATCTTCAAGAAAATAAGTTTCTGAAGAAGTAACTTTGATAACTGTAAATTAAATACTTATTACCCATAATGCTAAGGGACCAACCTCTTCATCAATTTATATTCATGCATTTATTAATATAATATACAGTTGTATAAAAAAATACTTATTGATATGTTAAAATTTCGAGAATTTCGTACTGCAGTCATTGGATATTTTAAATTTTAACCGCACTCAACAAAGTACTTAGAAATAGTTTTATTTCGATTGGAGAGAGTATTCGAAGTGATATTTAAAGTATTAGAAGTCAATGATGCCATGATGAAAAACACAATTCGTATCTTTATCTCCGGAGAACAAGATGACCAATGTATTGGACCGAAATAATTTGAAACTTTTTAGAAAGCTAAATAAAAAATTTACTGTTTTTTTTACTATAATTTGGAAATTAAGATGAAATATTTCATTCATCCAACGATTTATAACAACTTATTGTAACAAATAAAATCGCTTCACAGTAAATGGTGTTTTATTTATTTTAATCTATCTTAGCGAACTTGAGTTGAACTATGAGAGAAAAAAAACTACGAATGAAGGAATTTTTTTATGAACATTTGATCACAGCCCTCAACTAATAGACACACATACTGAATTTTGCACTTACGACTAATAAATGCTACAATCCATCATTCCTTATTTTATAAAGAGCACAGAATAGTTTTCCTACCTCTATTTCTATCATGTCGTACGGAAGGAAGGACAAGTTTTTATTCGCCTTTAAGGGCAGGCGAGACTCCTGAGGCGATTGGTATTGCAACATTAAGAGACGGGTTGTTGAGTTTAACGTCAGCGATTGACTGGCATTGGGGGACCTAACGCATGCAGAACACTTTTATCTTCGTTACAAAGTACGAGATTCTAATCCCACCGAAGACGAGAAAAAAAAACATCACAACGTCTGCGCTGTTGTTATTGATAAACAGAAAGTCTTATCCTATCAAATTAAAATGAAATTTATATTAGTTCAAACATTTTCCCAAATTCAATAAATCTTCTGACTTGAACAGATAAAAAATATTTCTAACGATAAATATTAGTTTGATTTTGTCATATTCATTATTATCATAATCATTTCCAATGATATTTAGGTAATAATCAATGGTATTTACTACGGAAAAAATTATATATAATTCCGCTTATACATATCTATATTTTATAAATTAAAAAAAAAATCGAACTATTATTAATTTTTATTAAGTTGTAGATAACTATTGTATTAAAAACAAAGTATTTTTTTGTTACTTTAGTTTATAGATTTTATTGTGAACGCAAAGATTTTTTTTGGTAATAGTACAATTTTATTTAATAAAATAGTATCAATTATTAGATATTGATTCTTGATAAACACTTTTATCGTTATTTAGAATATTAAATAAATGTATACTATTGAGTGTTTTCTTAAGTTTTTTTTTCTAGATAATACAAATCCAACAATATAAAAGTCAGCATTAGTGTTCATCATTGGTAAACAATTTACTTAATCAGTTAAAAGAAATATTTATTTTTTTTTTTTTTTTATTATTATTTAAGAATGTCTTATTGTATAAAGTAGAGAGTAGCTATTCACTCACACAAGAGCTGACATGGTAGAAGCATGTGATTATTTAATACAATTGAGCTGATATTTACCTACTGTATGTTTACGAATAGATATTCATGAATCAGATCTGTTTATTTTTGTTAATGTGATTGTTTACTGTCATCGTACCATACTCGTTTATTTAAACATTGGATTCATAAATTAAAAAAACATAATTATCCTTAACAAATGAAGAGAAGGTGATAAAAGATGAAACATACTCACCTCAGTTCCTTCACACCAGTGAGGAGCGAAAGGAGATAGGTTAGCGTTGGAGCGGTTTAAGGCTACGTTTCAGCTAGGGACTACGCCCAGCGAACAGGCGCAGAACCGCAGCGCGCCAACCTTCCAGAGCGCAAACCGCCCACTGCTGCCAACGAAACCTACCCGTCCTTCCGTTCAATGAAAAGCGGAATTTTGGGGTATTAATGTGATTATTTCTAGTTATCATAACAATATGCCATCTTCTCAAAGTTCAGAGCGTAGAATGACATTACTGATACCATTTTCGTTTGAAACGTGAAGCTTTAATATATATATTTTTAAATTATCTTCCAAATCTCAAAAATGTATCGCGATCTTTCCCGGACTTGGCCAAAATATATCGAATTGTTACTTCAAAACTATAAATGCGAAAATGTGACTGAATATCGTTGAGCAGCTTGCTAGCTGATAAGGCTGTTTTCGACACACTGGAACTAAAAAACAACAACAAAAAACTGATGTTACGATAACAGCTATCATCTTTAATAAAATACAGTAATCAATTAAAGCTGACATTGTTAAATTAATATTTACGGTACGGTATCTTGCTATGATGTGAACTATCTGAAACTACGATCGTAATAAAACTTACACTTCATTATAGGAAGAGTAAATACGTGGATTTTGAACGATTGAAGCTGTTATAGTTTGGTCAATACAATTGAGATGTTACTGCTTTGAACAACCAGGGATTCTCAGAATTGCAAAAAGTCACAGTTCACTAGAAGACGATTTTCCGAAACCTTTATCAAATCATGAGGACCGTTTTATTTTGGAAAGCTTAGGTTAAAACCGAACTAAAAAAATAATTTATACTTTACAAAATGACTAGTACATTTATAGAAGACGAGCTAAAACAACTACGTAGAAATATACTATATTTTTTGTTCAAAATTCAATTTGGATAAAATACCAACAAAAGTGTTTGTAAATAGATTGGAGTATCTAATGTTGATGTTTTTTAACGTTACATATTTCGGAAGTCGTAGTTAGGCTTCATATGAAAATATTAATTAAAGAAGGAAATAATAGTTTCAACCAAAAGTTTAAAAGAAAGAGAAAAGAATAAAAGATCTAGTTACAGCAAAAACAGCTCATAAAACATCTACATAAACACAACTCAATATTACAAATTTTGAAGGACTAAGGTGGATAGAGTCATACTGTAGATTTAATAACTGAAGAAGATAAAAGAAACTAAAATATATTTGTATATAAAAAGTATACAGTTTATTAAAAACCCTGTAGTCTTCCACCGGGACCTCCGCACACGATTGGAAAATAATGTTGAGGGAGAAATAATGTAATAAACAATAAGAAGATTTTTGTTGTGGCTCTTTTTTTTTATGAATATGATCAAAATAGATAAGCCGCAACATTAAAAACAAAGTGAAAAGAAATGCAAATAAAATTTTATTTGAATAATTCGAAAATAACTTGGTAGTCGTTGAATATATTATCATGAGAGAACAGACTATTCTGCTATTATAATCATTACAAATCAAATTTCATCATATTACAACTAACATGATAATTACTATGTCTGTAGGTACCTTGGGCTTCCTATCTTTTTTAGCTTGTTGGATCATGACAATCTTTATTGTTTATATATATATTTTTTTTTAAACAAACATTTCAAACATCAATATTTTCGTTCGTTTCCTCTGTACCAGGTCCTGCTCGAATTATGAACACTGGAAAATAATATATTTAGAACAATAGTTTGATATTCCTAATTTTGGCCACTGAATCGTCCATACATAAGCCAAATCGCAACAACTATTGTATAATGTCGGTATGCTAGATATAACTATTATTTATTCCAGAGATTTTAGGGCTGTAGGGAGAACTCAGAGCCAAAATCAATTTTGAAACAGAATTTTCAATTGACAATGATTGATGCTCCTAGAACGATATAAATACTTCATATCTATAAAGTACACAATATAAAAATACATTTCTAACTCAAAATTTTTAACTTACAACTAACTAAATAAAAGGTATTCAACTGATATACAAACTTATATAAAAAAATAATTCAGATCTAATAAAAAAAAAAAACACCCTCCATTAAAATAAAAAGAAACAAAAGAGGTAATCGAATAGGCAGTTGCAGCACTTGAGTAGATTAAGTAAAAACAACAGTACTCAAAGGTATTTGCAAAACAATAGTTTTATAATAAACAATGTATACATACGCTAACACCGCTGTTTCAAATAATTTACTCAATTGTTACATATTTATGTGCAATACCCCATTCTTACATAAATTGTAACAAAGCAGTCTTCTTAAATTTTTATAGAAGGCATTATATCTCTTTACAGCGAAATTAATATAAAAAGTAGACACAAATATTTAAATATTGTATAACAATTTTTACCATTTTTTTCTATCTCAATCTGCCTCAAATGCTCTTTTTCACATTTCTGCAGCAATGGCGTTTCAAATCTTATTCTCCATTATATTTATACAGACGTCATATTATTCGATTATTAGAGGATATTGAGGAGTTCTATTTTTTTTCGATTTTTCTACACTTTCAAATTAATCCCATAGAGGAGATATTTACAATAGACAAATACAAATTGATCAAACAAAAAAAAAAAAAAAAAAAAAAAAAAAATAGGCATAGAAAAATAGGGTCTCTAAAGGTGCAAGGTCTCAATTTAAAATTGAATTTACTTTATAGGGGTCATTAATATTGGACGCTTTACCTGGCAGGGGTTTTGATGTGTAATACCTACAGGCTTCATTCCTGAATCCTTGGGACAGCCCATATTTTGCTAATCCCCTTTTTAACTGGAAAAGATGCAAATGGCATTTTAAATCTAATTATTATTTTCTTTTTTCATCTTTCATTCTCTTTTAAATATAATAATAATGTTACAAAGTCTTTTTCTCATTTAACAAAATTTCATCTTCAGCTTTGATCTGTACAAACATTGACATGGAACCATTATGTGTGAGAAGCGTAAGACGTGTAGAAGGGGGGATATCGGCAACATTAGTATTTTTCTTTTCATCATATTATTTTCTCTTTTTTGCTATTTGAATTTATTCATATATAGTTTGTAATACATATTGTCAAAACCTCCATTTCACCGCAGATATGGGCTTTGTTTTTCGTCTAATAGTTATGAAGACCCTTGGGCCAACGTGTCGAAATAGATAGAAGTTGTTAGACATAGATGAAGAATGAAAGCATTAAATATATTACAGTGAGAGGATGCAGTCACATGCATATATACTTTTACTATTTAGCCTTGTGTAAATGTAAGATATATGTACATATGACGGCAGCGAAAGCGGGATGAAGGGGAAAGTAGGTGGATGAGTGGAAGCGAAAGGAAGAGGCGAATAGAGATAATAAAAGATAGAAATGAGGAGTGAGTAAAGGAGAGATGAGCGTGCCAAGCGACTCACGGCCGAAATCTACAACGCACAACCTCAATCGATAATTTGAATGTTGATTTGCCGGCGAGTGTTGTCAGGATTGCCTTGGCAACGCTTCATCCTTCCCCCTGCCTCACCCCTACTCACACTTTTATACAATTATAATATTCCATACATCATTACACTAATTACAAGGAAAACAAATAAAAGTTTACAAAAAGAAATCCTTAATAACAATTGAAAAACAAAACAAAAGTATACAAAGTAAAACCTGTATAAAGCAATAAAATAAAACAAAATTAATACATTTAGAGCATGGTACGACAGTTGTATAAAACAATACAAAAAAATACAATTTTCTGTAAAAATCATCCAAAATTGGGGGTGTTATTGTTTCAAAAGTTCATCAGTGAATCCCACTACAGCTCTTATGAACCAATAACACTATCAGCAACCTGCATCGTCCATTGTATCTTTCAACTGATGCGATCACAGCAGAAAGAGATAACAATTAAACAAATCATACAGACAGTAAATAAAACAAAACATTTTCAATCGAAAAAAAAAATAAACGAAAAGGAAAAAATAAATAAATCTACTACTACTTACATTTTAAAACGGTAAATGGCAATAAAATTACTGTAGATCAGGAGCGAAACACAATTGAAGATGTATAAAGAAATGAGAACTTGTGCTGAACTACTATAAACAAAACACAAGTCGGTATCTGAGTGCGACAACTAAATGGCAGTAGCGGGGCTGTAGGCCCGGCTTTAGGGGTTGTAGTGGGGGTAGGGAGGGGTGGGGGGTTCTAAAGATTTTCCAGATTAGGAATTAATCCATCCAATTAATTTGTCAGCTGTAAAGAATAATATAACTAAAGAATTGAAAGGTACTGTATCTAAAAGAAAAGGGGAGATTTATCAGGAGTATGGTAAAGGAGATGAAAAGTTTAGGGACTATTTTGTCGTAGCGAAGAAAGGCGGGTGGAGCACTCGGGGGCGATCAATACACTGACGGTGGAGCTCCAGGATGGCCGACTCAGGTACAAGAGCCCGGAATTATCTAGTAGAGCGGGATAAGCCTCCACTAGCTCTATTACTAAACCATTTAGTATTTAGTCGAGGAAAACTCACTGTATGGCCGATAGGTCGCCAAGTCTCACCCTTCTTTATTCAATTCACCCTCCCATCATTTCCGGTTGTAAGTCATTGAGGTCATAAAATTCATTCGCGGTGCAACCGAAATTCCAATCCAATTTTGTTGACAATTTAAAAATCTTCCATATTTATTAATTATGAATCGCTGGGAACAAACCAAATACGCTTTCCCGAAAAACACTTCCTTGACAACTGTCCAATTCCTCCATTAGCTTTTTTATTTAAAGGAATACAAAGCAATTAATTAAAACTCAAAAATTAATTTATTTGGAATCTGCCATCAACCGCATATAAAATTATTGCTAAACGATAAATATATTAACAAAAACTTGTAAATGTCTTGGGTATCCTAAATAGGAATCTCCATAGCCACTCTATAGATATAGATAAACTTCACTATTCGTAGATCAGATGCTATCACAGAATTTAAGTATTATGTAGTTGCTTAAAATTCACAGTATACATTTATATAAGGTTTTATTTATTTATTTCGCACAATTTTAAAATTTTTATTTAACTTTCCATTGTATTTATTTACTTTTTTTTTTAATTTTTATTGTTGGGTTTTTGTTTGATACAACACTATTTCTCATGAAAAAAGTTGAACATGTGGTGCAGTAACAATTACTTTGCCTCAGCAGCAATAGCTGTTGAGAAAGGAGATTAGTTGTTTTTTAAAGATATCACTACAACATTAATCATAAAAATAATAATGTTATTAATTGACAGTCATTTCTATTTATTCAGCTATCAGTAGTTTTGTTATAACAATTTCAATTAGAGCCAGTCGAAAGTGACTCAGGAAAATGGTGCACCTGCATCCATGGAAAGTAAATAATTCAACTCATCCTTTAATTTGGAAGAGATCACTTTTGAAATGAAACACTTTCACATACGAAATGGCCATCAATAACACGCACATTTATTCTATTTATTCAAATGATCTAAATAAAATATTTTTCATGATTTCTAATTTGTTTACAAAAATAAATTGTTTCTTGTACTTGATCTGCAGCTCGCTTTTAAATAACTGGATATCAGTTATTCAATTTAGTACAACTATTTTGATAAACATATTTAATTTAATAATAATGCTTATTTATTTTTTTATAGATTTTATTTATATATATATATATATATATATATATATATATATATATATATATATATATATATATATTAATTTATTTATGAGAGAATTATTTTAAATCTAAAAAAAAATTAATTAATTATTTTTTTTAAGATTTAAAATAATTCTCTCTCTCATATATATATATATATATATATATATATATATATATATATATATATATATATATATATATATATATATATATATATACATATATTTATGAGAGAATTATTTTAAATCTAAAAAATAATTAATTAATTATTTTTAATTTTATTATTAAATATATATATATATATATATATATATATATATATATATATATATATATATATATATATTTATGAGAGAATTATTTTAAATCTAAAAATAATTAATAATTTATATATATTATGAATATACATTGATTATTAGTTTTTACAAAAACTGTTTGAACTAAATCAATACGTATAAACAAATCCATATCTAATTTAATCAAGCCGTCTTTAGAAAAGCTATATATATATATATAGATAGATATATATTGTATATAAATATACTGGGAGGAATTTGGAGAGAAATTAGAGGTTAATTTCAAAGAAAACCAACTTCTACAAAGTGCTAAAATGCATTCGGAAGGAGAGGTTGCCAGTTCTAAAATAAAAGGACAGAAGTGGAAAACTTTTGAATAAAAGCAATGATATAATAGACCGGTGGAAAGAATACTTCCAAAAACTACTTGGTGGAATTGACATTAGGAATAGGACCAATGGTGACAACCAAAAACAGCAGAGAATCTGGGAAGAGGAAGATTTTATAGATGAAGAAGAGTTGGAAGAAGCAGTACAAAATATGAAGTTTGGAAAAGCAGCACGCAGAGATGTTATAATACATGAAATCCTCTGATACATGGGAGAACATGGAAGGAAAGTTCTTATCAACCTAATTTGGAGGGATAAAAGAATACCAAAAGATTGGGAGGTTTCCACCATTGTTCCAATATACAAGAAAGGAGATAATAGAAGATGTGAAAATCATAGAGGAATTTCTCTACTAAGTGTCTCATGCAAGATAAACGCACGGATCCATGAAAGAAGACTGAGAACAAGTTTCGACAGTAGCTTAGGAGGAACAATATGGATTCCGCAACCACAGAAGTATTCAAGACCTTATACTCACTATGAGGCGAATATCCGAAAAACTGATCGAAAAGAGGAATAAAGTAAGTTTTTGTTTTGTGGATTTGACGAAGCGAGAAAGAAGATTTAGCGAAGGCCCTGGAGTAGATGGGAGTGGAGATGGAACTAAGAATGGCTATAGAAAGCTTTTGCAAAAGGAATAGAAATGTAGTGAGAACGACCAATTGCACCTCTGTGGAATTTGAAACTGTCCCTGGTATTCGACAAGGCTGTTGTCATAGCTCTGAAAAAAGCCAAACCTAAAATGAGAGATTTTCACCTTGGCTACCAAAATCAAAGCCAAGTAAGTTTTAAGTTGATGGCTTATGCTGATGACCTGATGTTATTCGGGAAAGATGGTAGAAATCTTCAGTATAACAAATTGATTCTAAGAGACGAGCTTGCTAAAATTAATATGCAAAAAAGCAAGAAAAAAACGAATGTGATGAGAATTGGAAAGCTCCGGGATCACAACTTACGTTTACTCCCTATAAATGGAAAAACAATAGAACACGTGGATAGCTATAAGTATCTAGGGGCAAACGTAACAGAAAAAGGACTTATTGAAACGGAGATCAGGGAAAGAATAGTTTCGGCTGGAAAAGTTTTCAATGCTGTTTAAAGGGGCTTTATTAACAGGAGAGAAATATCAAAAGAAACAAAGGTGGCTATATACAAGAGTACATTCATCCGAATACTGACATATTCCAGTGAAACTTGGACACTTACAACAAAAGATAGGAGTCTACTACAGAGTTCTGAGAATAGAATATAATTCCTTCCGAGAATTGAAGGTAAAACAAGACGAGATCGAACCAGGAATACTACAGTAAGGACGAACATCAATGTAAAACCTGCTAGAACATTTTCGAGGAAAATCAACTCAGATGGTATTGAGATGTCATTAGGATGTATGAAAATAGAATCGCCAGAGCAGCCTATGAGACACTGGTCGACTGTCGTAGATCGAGGAGATGGGAGGAAGGTATAAAGGAAGCATTTACTGTAATATGTATAATTAATTAGTAAAAATACCTTTAGAACAAACGTAGGTGTGCTTTATTATTTATTACAAAATATACCATCTGTCTTGTCTTTATCTAACTAACATGTGTAATCGATTATATTATAATTTATAAATAGAGGTTACAGTCTTATACTACACCCTTCCCTTAATCCTCACAAAGTCTTTTTGGTGGCTTCACCAGGCGGCCCGATCTGGTGCGCATACCTTCACTAGTTGGAGATGCTTGCTGAGCTTGATCATTGGAAATTGACAGTCCTGGTAACAGCAGGGAAGAACCATTCTGCGGGTGAAGCGGAGACTGGCTCTGTTCCTCCTGAAATAAAGCATTAGAGGGTTGGAGTAGAGGATCAGAATCAGAATCAGTTGGGTTGAGTAGAGGATCAGTGTTAGGTGTGGTGAGGCGTCTTAAGTGGGATGAGTTTCTTCTATATTCGTTGTCATATTGGTCTCTGACCAAGTATGATCTTGGTTCAGGGAGAACCTTTGTAATAGATCCTTCTTTCCATCGATCCTTCCATTTAACATAAACTGGTTGTCCCATCTTGAACTCCTCTGATTGACGAGAAGTTGAGTCATAATATTTTTTACTTTTGAATTTTAGAAGCTCCATTCTTTGGCGCACATCATCGTCTGGTATTTTGGGAATAAGAAGATCAATGCTTGCTGGCGCCCTGGTTCGCAGTCTTCGACCCATCAACAGTTGGCTTGGAGAATACTCGAGCCCAGAAAGGGGAGTTGTTCGGTATTCTAGAATGGCTTCATAAATGTCTCCTCCTGAATAAGAGACTTTCTTTATCATTTTCTTCGCGACACCTATCCCTTTCTCCGAGAGACCATTAGATCTAGGGTAGTGAGGACTAGATGTACAAATTTTAAATCCCCAATGTTTGGCAAAAGCTGCCATTTCTGCACTACTGAACGGGTTGTTATCACAACGTACAATTTCAGGCGTGCCATGATTACTAAAAAGAATTTTTAGTTTTTTGATAATTTCAGTGGATGTTTTATTCTTGAGCGGTATAATATCCAACCATCTTGAGTAGTAATCTTCTACAGCCAGAAAAATTTTCGAATTACACTCGCCTATGTCCATACCAATAACTTGAAACGGAAATTTAGGAATTTCATATGTTATAAGAGGTTCTTTAGGTTTATTGTTTTGGAAGGTTTGACACGTGGAACAAGAATTTATGAAGTTTGTAATGTATTCGGACATGTTTGGCCAATACATAAGGCTCTTAATACGGGAAACGGTTTTGTTTATTCCAAGATGAGCTTTAGAATGAATTTGGCTTACGAAGTGACGTCGGAGACTCGGTGGTATAATAATTCTATCATTATAAAATAAAATTCCTTTATTTTCTGAAAGTTCGTCTCGGAGCCCATAAAAAACCTTTATTTCACGTTCCAAACACTTTTTATGAACTCCTTCCCAAGCATTCCTGATACAATTTCTAAGTTCACTGAAATCATCCCTGGTGGCTTCTTGCAAGATTTTTATATCCTCTGATGGCACCGGCAACAATTCTTCTAGCGTAATGGCATGAACCACCTGAGAAAAGTCTACGTCTTCCGGTCCCTCTTCTTCAAGAAAGGCTCTTGATAGCATGTCCGCTATATACATTTTTGAGCTTGGTATATAGGATAATAAAAATTTATATTTTAATAGCTTCAGTTGCATTCTTTGGAGTCTTGAAGAATTTTTATACAGCTCCTTATTGAGCACTGCTAACAACGGTTTATGATCCGTGAAAATCTCAACATTATTATGACCGTAAATAAAGTGGTGAAATCTATTGACCGAGAAGCATAAGCTAAGCATCTCCTTCTCTATCTGACTGTAATTCTTTTCTGAGTCATTAAGACTTCTTGATGCAAATACGACTGGTTGCCCGTTTTGGAGTAAACAGCTTCCAAGCCCATCCTTACTGGCATCACATTGGATCTCGATTTTAAGTGACGGATCAAACAGTTTGAGAGTGGGCGCATTACAAACTAAAGATTTTATAATAGAGAAAGCTTGCTTCTGTGAATCAGACCATTGCCACTGAGCACTCTTTTTCAATAATTCCCTAAGAGGGGCGGTGACTTGTGAATAGGCTGGAATAAATTTGTTCAAAAAATTTATTGCACCTAAAAATCTTTGAATTTCCTTCGGAGACTGAGGTTCTTTAATATTAGAAATGGCTCTTACCTTGAGAGGATCCGGTTTGATTCCATCTGCTCCAAATACTAGTCCCAAATATTTAACTTCATTTAATTTAAACTGGAGTTTCTTGCTATTAAATTTAATGTTGGACTGTCTGGCCCTTTTTATAACCTCTTCCAAGCTTTTAGCATGTTCAATTTCTGTTCGGCCCGAAACTATTATGTCATCGAACATTATTTGCACACCCTACTAGATACTCCCCCTCAACAAAGACTACAATTCCCTTATCACCACACACTCTCCGTACTACTCGCCCACACCTGATACGTTCACTCAACTAACTCCCTACTCTCACTCCCCCCATTTTACTAACCACTCATTCCACCCATCCAATCCAAACCACTCTCGTTCCCATCATTTCCCCCAACCAACCACCCTTCCCTACCCCCCCAAAAAACCCCCACCTCAACTCTTAACTAACAACATCTACTTTCATCACACCATAACCCAAAATACATACAAACAACCAAATCTTCCATTTCAACCCCCCCCTAGCACTCACTCCACAAAAAACCCCACCCCCACATACCATCCCCCACCACATACTTGTCACAACCCTATCATCTATATACACACACACTAACCCCCACAATCCGACTAAGAAAACTAAACTCAAATCTCTCCTTCATTCGCTCCTATACACTATTCCACCCTACTTTACCCTCATCCGAATACCTCTACCACCACAACCTAACACTTTCTCACAAAACCCATCCCTACCCCCCACAATTCACAAAATCCACCTCCAACATTTAAAACAAGAACCACCCAATAAGTACCACTACCCACCAACCAAACTCACCCACTACACCTCCTCCCCCTAACCAAGACTCCCCCCCAAAAAACCCTAACTACTCACTCCTACACTTGCTCATCTTCCAACTCCCGAACACCAACCCCCAACCCCTACCACAACAAGACAAAAACTCCACCAAACCCACATAAACCCCTTAAACTCTCACCCACTCACCCCCACCCAACCCAACCATCCTGAAACTCCCCAAACCCCCCCACCCCTAACCATACAAACACAACTCCCAAAAACCATTTCCCCCCCCCCCACCCACACCCCCTCTCCCTCCACACCCTCATATCCCCTACGCTTCCCCTACAACTGCCACACCCCCAAACACAACCGCACTTTCACTCATGACCCCTCCCATCACACTTCAAACACCCTGCTCTATGTTGACACTCAAAACCTGTGTTCAATGCCACAGTGATGTCTCACCCCCAAATCATTCCTCATCTAACCCCAAAACCACCCCAACCCATCCATCAGACACATACATTAGAGTGTGTGCTCGCTTGCTATATGCCTCTCTAGAGAAATAGTAGCAAACCCTGTCTCTCTATCACCTCAATACTCCCACGTATAGATCCGTTGCACCACACACTCACTCTCTACTACTCTCTCTTCTCAACTCCTCACCCCACACACTTCCCACTCACCCAAACCCATATACACACCCATTACACCCTAACGCCACCCACCCACAATCTTAATCCCACTATATCCATCGCTCCTACACTTATCTCCCAGTCATGTGTGTGTGCGACCCTACGCTCATCATCTGTACCAACTCTTCCGACTGACTCATAGATATAGAGTGAATCACCACGCTCGTGTCCTGCTCATAGAAGTAGTAACTCTAATTGTGTTCAGAAAGATGCCACTTATTAAGACTATTACTTAACATATCTATGCAAAGTTCAGATCATCTGCAATGACTCTATTTGCCTGAATAATGATATCAAGAGAAATAGAGAAACACTGAATATAGATTTTATTCTAACCTACCACTCACATCCTGTCAACTAGTATCTCTCACACTCCTGTGATATATCTAATAACTACATCCTGTCCGAGATCGAGAATCTGACCTCCCTCATTCACTATCTAACTGTATCTATATGTCATATATGCACTAATGTTCTTCAGAGATGCACATCTGCAATCCTAGTCAGAACAAACTAGTGTGCAAAAGCAGTCTCGTATAGTAATTGAGTATACTACACATACAATACCACACCATCATAAAGTAACTTGTCTCACAGTGAGTGAACAATATCCATGTGTTGTTCAGCGTCAAACACATATTACATTCCTATACCTCTCGTCTTCTGTTGTCCCAGTCTAACTCATCTCTCACAGTACTTCTTCTACATCCAATAATCATACGACGTAGTGTATCTTGCACGCCTGCCTACGGTACGTCCCATCCCATATGTCGCGCGCTAGTATCGTGTGTATTGTCTAGACTTAAACTCTCTGTTATAGTTTACAGATCCTATGACAGACCACTACTCACGTCATTCACTAATATGTCAGCGCTCTCAAGTAATGAATACTTATATCGTGTCATCCTAAACTCATCTCTGTGTACGCGATAGACGAGACCAATATCATAGATAGATATATAGAGATAGAGACCTATCACTTTGATATAGTTGAATCATAATACCATCTCCTCACACAGAACATCATCATCAACTAAGCTGAATAGCGCTCACCCTCTATATGTCAATAACTACTCTATAACTACATAATCTTCACTTGTGAGTCATGCGTCTTCCTAGATGAATATCACGTAATACTTGTCATTCGTGCCGAGGTAAGATCCTCACGTTAATTGTATAATTACTAAGTGCCTTAGAGTGTCATCTAAATCACCTCTAATATCTCCACTACAATCAATAGTGCCTAAGTCCCATACACCTCTACACTAAGAAAACAATCTACACTCTGTCGCCTCATCAAAATTAAAAGAAACACATCACCTCTCAATATATACTCTTCACTCCTCCTCTGCTCCTCCCACATACCCCCTGTCCCCCCCCCCCACCACATACCGTGTGTCTCTATCCTTCTCATAACACACTACACTATATCCAATCCCCTCCTACTATCTCCCAACTTCCAAATCTACACACACCTTAATCCCTTTACTCACTCCCAAAACATACCCCTCCCACTCATCCCAATCAATCTTGTACCCCCACCCTCACTCCATTACCACCCCCAAATACCATCATCAACCACATCCTACAACAACACCATTACCACCCTACCTTACTCCCAACCACATAAAACCATACACATAACCAAATTACCAATACCCCAAAACCCTAACCACTCCACAATACTAACACTATCTCATTCACCAACCCAAACACACTCACACCAACACACCAACAAATAACCAACCATAACTCACAACCACCAACCACTCACCAACACAACACACATCCTCACACCCCACCCCCCTTCACCACCCCCCCACCCCACCCAACACCAACAACACCCAACACCCACCCAAACACTCCACACAATATACACACACACACCCACCAACCACACCACCCACACACCCCACCACAAACCCCACCCCCCAACCACATACCCCAAACCCTACCCCACACACACCCACCCCCACCCAACCCCAACACCCCCACCCCCCACCCCCCTCACCCCACACCCCCCACCACCACTCCATACCACACCCCCCAAACCCCACAATACCAACCCAACCCACCCCTACCCACCAACCCCCATCCCCAACCCCACCAACCAACCCACACCCCACCCCCACCACCACCACCCACCCAAACACCACATCCCCCACCACCCACACCAACCCCCCCACACCCCATCCCCCAACCCACCACACCCCCCCCACACCCCCCCCCCCACCACCCCCCCCCACCCCACCCCCCACACCCCCACCCCACCCACCCCCCCACCCACCCCCCACCCCACCACCCCCACCCCCCACCCCCCCCCACCCCCACCCCACCCCCCACCCCCCACCCCCCCCACCCCACACCCCCCCCCCACCACCCCACCCCCCCACCCACCCCCCCCCACCCCCCCACCACCCCACCCCCACCCCCCCCCCCCACCCCCACCCCCACCCCCACCCCACCCAACCCCCCACCCACCCACCCCCACCCCCCCACCCCCCCCCCCCCACCCCCCCCCCCCACCCCCACCCCCCCCCACCCCCCACCCACCCCCCCCCCCCCACCCCACCCCCCCACCCCCCACCCCCCCCCCCACCCCCCCCCCCCACCACCCCCCCCCACCCCCACCCCCCCCACCCCACCCCCCCCCCCCCCCACCCCACCCCCCCCACCCCCCCCCCCCCCCCCCCACCCCCCCACACCCCCCCCCCACCCCACCTCCCACCCCCACCCCCCACCACCCCCCCAACACCCCCCCCCCCCCCACACCCCCCCCCACCCACCACCCCCACACCCCCCCCCACCCACCCCACCCCCCCACCCCCCCCCACCCCCCACCCCACCACCCCCCTCACCCCCACCCCCCCCCACCCCCCCCCCCCCCCACCCCCCCACCACCCCCCCCTACCCCCCCCCAACACCCACCCAACCCCCACACCCCAACCCCCCACCCCCACCCCCCCCCACCCCACACCCCACCCCCCCACCACCCCCCCCCCCCCACCACCCATCATCCCCTAACCCCTCGCCCCCACTCCACATCCCCACTAACCACCACCTCCACCCCACCCCTCTAACCCACCACCCCAACACACCCACCACAACCAGCCCCTCCCCCCCACACTCCCCCACCACCAATCCCACCACCCCACCACCCCACCCAACCCTCCCAACCCCGCACCAATAACACCCACCCACACCCCACACCCTACCAGTCCCCCCCACCCCCCAACACTCCAATCCAACCACTCACCCCCCACACCCCCCCCCACCCATCCCAACTACACCACCCCCACCCCCAACCCCCCCCCCCCCCCCCACACCACCTCCCACCCCTACACCCCCCACCCCTACCCCACCCCTAACTACCACAACACCAAACCCAACCCCATCACCCCTTTACATCAAAATCATAACACCCCCATAACCCCCACCTAAACCCAACTCACACAACCCCTACACCCACACCTCAAAGACCCCACACAACCCCCTCCAGATGTACCCCCAGAGAAACAGCAACACATAAATGTCTTTCTCTTGTCTCTAACCTCCACAACACACATCCACCTCTCCACCTCTCCAAACTCCCTAACACTGACATGTACACTCCCCAACCAAATAACCACCCACCACTAAACACACCATATACACATAACTACTAGAAGCATAACCACCAAAACCATCATCTCATATCTCACAATATCTCTCCCTCCTCTCTCTCCAACACCTAATCATTCACCACTCATCAGACTCCTGAGCTAGACCACCTAACCAGACTCTCCTGTCATCGACAACCAACATAACATGAACACTCACGTCTCATCTCCTCCTCCAAAATCCACACTCCTTTTAACTAACTCGTCATTGTGATTCAGTACATCATATCATAGTGTCAATACAACAAAACCTCATACCTCATTAGACGTCTGTCTCTACCTACTTCATCAACAGATGTACCTTCTGAACCAGTGTTCTCTCTCTAATCCGCACTCTCACACTCACTTTCACAACGATTGACTGAACACATAGTTTGAATGAGACATGTGTCACGAGAGAAAACTCACTCACTCCCCTTTCTTATGAGCGTCATGTACTTGAAGTAGATCACAGATATCTGTAGTCAGTTATGGTAATATCATTTTCATCATAAGAATACATCGGCTTCCTGAGTCTCTCCAGAGAGACTCCCCCTCAATCAATCCCCTTGATCACTAAAGTTCTTCATACCCTCACCATAAAGCTCACTAACTAGACACATATAGACTCCAATACCCATGCTGTCACATGAAGTTCATTAGATAGAGATAGAGTCCAGATGCATGTCACCACGAGGGTATGTATATCGGCTTTCCGCTTGATGCGTGATCACTCTTATGTGAGTATAGTGGAGTGTGTAGGGGGGATACTAGTGTCCGGTGTGTGTGTGTCAGTCTAGTCGAATCTCGATGATGTCATACATAGCTTGTGTCGTTCGAGATGATCTAACATTTATTGTGTAGCTTGTGTCACTAAGTGTGACGACTGTGAGGCGAGACTCATGTAGAGATCTCCGTTCGTAAGGTGCATAGTTGTTGTGTGACGGGTGCTAAATAAATAAAGAGAATTAGAGCTGTAAATTTAGATACAACAAAAATCAGTCCTACTATTCATGATTTGTTCCGTGGTAAATAAGGTAAATGATCCAGAGAATGGATTTCTATGTTATTCCATATATATATATATATATATATATATATATATATACTTTCCCTCATATTCATAAGTGAGAAATATAAATATTGTAAATATATATGTATTATGAAAAGGAAATATCTAAATAAGTGCAATAGTCAGCTTCAATATCCGTACAGCCGAGTACTTATATCATACTTAAGATTTATATATGTTAACAATTTGGTTCAAATTAAATTGGCATCATATTTTTGTATAATTCAGCTATGTTTTTGTTATTTAAAATTAAATCCATCGAATATTCATAATGTCAAAGAAACAAGAAATATACTAAATTGATCGAAAAAAAAACAGCTATCTCGTTTGCCGAAATATAATGCAAAATATCTTGATGAGCTTGGAGTTACATAGTTTAATCGTTCATGATATTTCTTAGAGAGGTTTTCAGCCTTCTTAGCGGACTAAATCTCTTTTCTGCGCAGGATGCATAGGGCATAAAATCAAGAATAATATTAGTTTTTTTCTTCGATGCGAAGGTTATGTTCTCAACTCGTCTCTCAGTATTTGCCTATTTTTCAGCGAAATATTTCTGATTATTCACTGAATACAGTTCACGTGTACATGAGAGCAGTTGATATTTACTTTAATTAAGTGATGTCCAGTAAGGTGACCACTTCAGATCCAGAACCTCAGCCTCAACCTGGTATTTCTTCGCAAGAAATAGTTGAAGAATACCCTTTCTTTACTACAAATGCTTCAGGATGATAAAGAAGTAAAGGATTCTGCAGCAATACAGAGGGAACCAAGGCCTCTTCCGATATTTGTGAAAAATATAAAGAATTTTCAGTTGTTGTGCACCCAACTAAACAAAATCTGCTCCGGCAGTTATTCGTGTATCAACAGGACCAATGCCACTAAAATAATACCAGATGCTGCTGAAGCGTATCGAAAAATAGCGAAATATTTATCAGAAACAAAGGTGAATTTTCAGACATACCAGCTAAAGCAAGAGAGAGCATTACGAGTTGTAATAAGAATTTTGCACTCCTCAATCCCACCTGAAGTGATAAAGGAAGAACAAATGACATCTTGATATGTCAGGTAACCAACTTTTTGAAGGAGAATAAGGAGCAGCCAGGGGTGAGAAATAAAGTCCCACTACTTTTGTTTTTTGTTGACCTGGAGCCATCATCAAGTATCGAAAAATGTTTGATATCACCAGAATACTCTACACAAGCGTGACAATTGAGAAACCCTATCCCAAGAGAAAAATCGCCAGTGCCACTACTTGTCGTGTTGCGTGAAATGCGGTCACTAACATAAATCAGCAGAGTGCACCAAACCGATACGAGATACTGCAGTTTTTGCCCTATGCTTGGAGGGATATCCGACGAACTATAAGGGTTGCCAAATCTACAAGAACCTCAAACCAGATACCAGAAGACCCGGATTCAAGACGAGACAACCAGGCCAAGAAGAGAACCTGCAAGAATTGTGAACTCTATTATTTCATTCTCCTATCTACTTGGAGATAAGAACCAAACCGTACATTGTGAAGCCCTTCCGCAACAACAGCCTCAACCTCATCCTCAAGAACCTATCCATTCTAATATACCTAATCAAAATCATCGCCAACATCAAATTCCTCATATTCGTCCACCTTCAAATGTCACAGATCTCACCAGTCTGTTGTCATTTTTTTTCATCAACTTCAGATCCCTCGTTACCCCACTCATATCACTCCTTACAAATCTTGTATCTCACTTGTTTAATTAATTGAATCTCACAATCCTTTAAAAAATCGTTAAATGACCTTCACCAAATCCTTATCCATTCTCCTTTGATATGCGAATAGTGTTAGAAATCATACAGACGAACTATCTCTTTAATTAGTTGACAAGAACATTGATGTGGCACTAATCACTGAAACTCGACTAACCACTAAACAACTCTTCAAAATACCGCAATACTTGAAATATCGAACTGAGCATCCTGAAGGTTGACCCATCATCTACTTCCATTACCTACTCATGATTTCCTACAATCCACCGCCATTGTAATCAAAACCTTTTTCTTTCCCGTCAGCTTAGCATCAAGCATATTGCCCTCCTAACAGATCCATATCCAATGTTCAATTCAGTTCTATTCTTAACTCCTTAGGATATAGCTTCATCCTGTGTGTAGACTGAAATGACAAGCATCAAGAATGGGATTCAAGAATCACGAATTCTCGTAGTAGATCTGCTCTGTATAGCTGTCTGGACTCAATACCCAAAGTTACAGCCTCCTTCTTCCCAACTCACCTACCAACTGGCCAACTGAGCCTAACTGCAATCCTGATATCCTAGATTTTTTTATTCACAGTGGTTTAGGTCCCCTCAATCATTCCCTTACCCAACTTGATTAAGTTTCCTCAGATCATAGTCCATTAAAACTCCAATTATCTCTAGCTTCTATTCCTAAACCCTCTCCAACATTGTTCATCAGAGGCCCAGTTAACTGGAACTTCTTTCGTCAAA